TGCTGCAAGGACCAAGTAGGTAGGTATGATATGGTGCTAAGGTTTTTTGTATCTTTTTTGAAGCTCAGTCTCAGGAAGCTTACTTTTTGGTGCTCATGCTCACAGGCATATGCGCATGCACATCTTTTTATCTTTTTCTGCCTGTAAAATAAAGAATGTGTCAACATTGCGGCTATTTTCGCTTGATTTGCCTTCATACTTGCAACCCATTCGATAGCCTTATAAATGTGTCCACCTGTGCACACACATGCATCCATCGACTCATGTTTGCGCTTACATATTCATTGCTAAGGTTAGGCATGCATTCTATTGAGTTAGTTCTTAATGCTTTGCAACTTTATTCACTCACTGCACTTTTATATGCATGATTATGATTATTTCTTAGGACTGATACAAGGATGGTGCCTTTTGCCTCTAACGTCAACGCCTTTATACTTGGTACCTTGCTCTAGTTATAGAATATCTGAGGCAAACTGCTGCCAATACTCTCATTCTGCTGTCGTTAATCGTGCCATAAGGGTGAGGGATGAGTAGTCCTCTTCCGAAGGGGTTCATGCCGTTGGTTGGACCTGGCTTCCTGCTTAGTAGATTTGCTCTTGATAGTCTTCTTAATAGTATAGTAGGCTTTCTTAAATAAGTATTAATTCGTTAAGTTCACCTCTATCCATTCAACTATCCTGTGTTTATCTTCCAAATTTATTCTCTTTCCTTCTCATAAGGCCCTTGTGTACTGTTTAATTCTACCAAAATAAGAGTTAGATATCTCTTTGTTTAGTCTTTCTGATTAAGCCAATGTATAACCAGAGTGTAACACTTTATTTTTTTTACTGATGCACATTCTGGTAGATATTTTATTGGACACCTACACTTCTCCGTTTTGGATGCCTTAAAGGGGAAATGCGCCCTTGATTGACTTATGCAACACTAGTTAGAATGACATTCTCTTACGCAACTCTTGAGCAGATAGTCATATTTTCCACTTCACTGGGTTCAGGTTATGGCTGCATACTTCTGATCTCATGGTCTACATATTCTAAGGGTAACCGAGAGTGCTCACGATTTTCATTTGTTGGTGCAGTGCACCGACACTTAAATGCTTCATTGTTAACAATGCACCTTCTCAATAATACGATTTTTGAGAGTTGCTGCGGCCTGACTAGAGCATCATCCTAAAGTTACTATTTTTCGTTCATAAGTAGGATTTAAAAACTACCAGTAAATCAGTTATTTGAGATATATTCACTATATTTCATTTAAGGTGATTGACTGGTAGTTGAATTTTCCCATAATTATATTAGTAGTGTTGACGTTTCCATTTAATTTCACCTCTACTAACGTCAACCATGGCAGAGACATTTCGTTTAAGGTCTCGGCATCTATTTTCTTCGGCGGTTCTCTAAGCTGCTGAAAGGTGTTTTTGATCGTTTTCTAAATTGTGCCTTATTCTTTCATAATGGATATGTCAAAAATGACATGCTGTCACTTGGGTGGTGGCAACTAGCAAAAACCGGATTGATGATACGATAATCTTCGTCGCCTGTCGTTACAGGCTTCATTGGTTAAAGCATCCATGATGCTTTGATGAACAGGCTTGCTTCTGTATAATGTACCTGCATCATGCGTTCAAAAATAACATTTTCAGCTTGGCTTCAATCTTGCCCAAGCCCCTAATAAGCATTTTTGGGTGTATTTTAACTCTGAAACTGAAATCTCTGGGGGTACCCCAGTGACTGATTGCTCTATTGGCCTCTGCGAGGACACGACTTTGCTGATTGCATTACTAGACTTGATGCGCTTAACTATACTCCTTCAAAATGAGATATCCCATAGGGCGGCCATATTGACGGGGGCACATTCACAAAAGATATATCGTTTTAGTTCATAAGTTCAGTTTGTCTAGCGATGCATTTTTTTCGAAAAGGAGAGCTAAGCATTTCGGGGCTGGAGCAGTCTTTATTCCTACTAACCGATGTGTGTGATTGGCTTGACGATTTGGCCTGGCAACTCTATCTGTTTTCAGCCCATAATCCTGTTACTAGGCTTGGATTTAGAGTATGCAATAATAGTGTATCTACATTACACACACCAGAATGTCTTTTCGAGAAATACTTGTCCTTAAGGGCGAAACTCTCTTTCCCTCAATCACTTCACCAGAGTTTCTTAAAGTTTATTCATCTGCCACTCTGCCTTTGGTCGACCTTCAGATTTCCCAACAGAAAAGATGGACGTTTCAACCTAGTTACCTTTTACTATCTGGCTCTTTCTGTGCTTGTCTGTACACTACCATCTTATATGATCTTATTGATCCCTCATGTCATTTCCTTTTTTTGGCCGTTGGATCGTTTCCTTTCTACTCTACAGCCTCCTTTGGGCGGCTTTCTTCCCGTGATACTAGGCCTAGTTAGTTTATAGCAAGCATATCAGCACTAAAATATGTAAAGAGCCATTGGATTATTTGGTGGTTTGACATTCTTATTGTTTTAATGATTTATTTACGGTTTCCCCTAACATCTATTTATTTACATGTGATAAAACTAAGAAGAAAAAAACTGCGAGAGCGACAGTAGGCCAAAAAAACAAAAAAACTTCCCCAAGGTAGAGCTGGATTGAACGTATCTGCATTCCGCATGCAATTTCTGGTTAAGGGGTGGGGAGGGCGCGTTTCTAGCCCTACGAATGGTGCTAAGCACTTGTTGCAAATCCAGTTGGCGACAGGTCTCGAAGGGATGTTTTGTGTTTTTTGGCAGATTTCGCGAGTCCTCCATCTTAAGTGTGTAGACATTTGCCTGAATGCTAAGCCTTCTGCTCCTGTTCTCGATGCAGCTGAGTCCATATGTGCAGCTCTACTGGTAGACATCATCGGAATGGGCGGCAGCATACAGGCTATTGTCAGCAGGGCTGATGGGAATACTTGCTTTCCTGGGCATTTCGGCCAGTCTTACCTAAGAACTAGCGATTGCAACGATGCTCCTTCAAGTCGACTCTACTCCATCCGGGCAAATTTTAGGCCATTTTGCACGATCCATTCTTGAGAATGATCCACTCTAATTGTACCTCTACGCTCCTCTGGCAATCTAATTCGTAAGCAACTCCTCACTGATCCTATTCAATTAGATTTTTATCTTCCTTCTGCTGTCAAAGCGTCTAATTCACACTTTATCGTTATTTTCGTCTAACAGTTGAGTATCGGGCTCAACAGTGGGAGATTGACTTGACAGTAGCCACTCGGTACTAGGCTCTAATTTTTGATAATTAAGCTAACTCAGAACCCTCAGTCGTCACCTTACTCACTCTATTTTCTACTTTGTTGGCTTCGCCGACTCCACTTGATCGTCTTTAAGGGAGGATTTTCTAGTATCCTTGGCTTGCAGCTGCTTTTCCTCCCACTTCTTTACACCCACTAATTTATTTTATAGGTTTCTTCTCTCTTTTCATTTAACCAACCAGTTTTTGGCTTTTAGGCACAACCACACAAACGAGCTTGTTTAGCATATATCCACTAGCTGGCACATTAAGTTGACTATGTGTTTGTTTTGAAGTTGTTCCATCTATCATAGGACTCAAATTCACCCAGTGAGAACAAATTCATTTCGGTTTATTCAGCTTGATAATGTTTCTTGGCTTGCCAGCGCTTCACCTGAATTCACGAGTTTATTGGGTCTGAGCTTTTTCTTCTATTATCACCCCACCTAATGTAGAGCTCAAACAATATATATATATATATATATATAATGTAAAGCAGGCTATACTAACCATCTTCAGGTCACTGATCGACAGGCGCCGAGCTCTTACTTCCTAGTTGGTAAATATTCTATGAGCAAGTATTGACCAGAGCACTCCAATTTAGCCGTTCTTTACGATCGCTTGCGAC